TACATATGTATATAAAGAAAACCCAAAGTATAACAACAAAATCAATATTATCCGTGCGTAAATGTAAAAAAAAAAAAAGGAAAAAGGAAAAAAACCCAAAAAACAACCACATGGTCTAATAAGAGAAACGACTCTTACAAATACCAGAACGAAAGTACTGTATCCAAAGATTGAGACAAAAACACCAAAGCTGGCTCCCTCTACTACACCAGTAGCACGAGACACCATAAACAGAAAAAAGAAAGCGCTACATTGTTGAGAGTTCAAACACAACTAAATGTAAAGATTCCATGGCGAAGAACTAGTCTAGGTACATGTAAAATGATAATTATGAAATTATATTGCAGCATACCGTACCGCTACCTGCAAAGCCACTACTGAACAGTTGAGTATTTGAACAGATCATACCTATAATTTTTGGAAGTTTGATATATCACCATGGACGAGGATCTGAAAAAGTTGCAATGATTGGAAATGTTTTACACCCCCATCAACACAATGTACATCGTTTAAGAGGCCGTCTGTTTCTTGTTTAAGCCTATGTGTTTCTTACGCCCCCATTGACATAATTTAGATCATCTAAGAGGAGGACTTTGATCATGCCCGTCAGGGCCAACCCGGGCTGAGGGGGATACAACATCCCAATAGGAGGACTGACATACCTGATCAAAATTCTCCCCACATGTGGTCTGAACTCTGGTCTTCCGTGTGCGACGGCGTACCACCTTACTGCTACATCACAGACGCCGGTTCGGGCTGTTTCAACTCGACCCAATAAAATCACTCAGAGTGTTTGCAAGCGGTCCTTAACTTATGTTGAAGTATGTATATCGTAATGATATGTGTCACGACACGGTGGGATCAGGCTCTCGTCAGATTTTTTTATTTTTTTGGGGTGGGGGGGGGGCATATTATATGGTATTATCTTAAAGCTAGTTCATTCGTCTTGATTTTTATAAAAAGAACTTCCATCTATCTTCGTTAGAAGACAAAATATTTTGGATTGAGGGGTGTGGGAGTCACCTGGCTTCAGAGGTAAAAGTAGCGAGAAAAAGGCAGCCGAAGTTCGGTGACTTCTTAAGCTTGAGAGTCCTTGAAATTTACAATTTGTGTGCCTTAAATGAACGTTTTTCAGTAACAATCCACACAGAATGAAATGAAATGAAATGTGTTTTTAAACAGACATTAAAGGTGTTGAGCCGAAAAAACAAACATTCAATTAAAATTCCCTAGCCAGCGGAAAAATGCAAATTTCTTCAATTTCATGATTTTGACGAGCGCCT